CAGGTGGGGTGGGGTGGGTGGGGTCACGGGGGACCCTCAGCTTGGGGTGGGACAATCACAGCACAGGGTTGGGTGGTGGGACCTCATTGGGGATGGTGGGAACTCATTGGGGTCTTCCTCGAGATAGGAGTGGTGGGACCTCCTTGACCAGGGGAGGGGTGGTTGGACCTCACTGAGCTTTTCTTGACCATGGAGAGGGGCTTGGACCTCGTTGGCCTCCTCCTTGATCATGGAGGGCTGGTGGAACCTCTTCCACCTTCTCCTTGACCAGTGAGGACCCCACCCCACCATCTCCCTCCCCTTCAGGACAACTTCGGCTACGACCTGCCGGCGGTGGAGGCGGCCATGAAGAAGCACGAGGCCATCGAGGCCGACATCTCCTCGTACCAGGAGCGCATCCAGGTGGTGGTGGAGCTGGCCCTGGAGATGGAGTCCGAGGGCTACTACGACACGCGGCGCATCGGCGCGCAGAAGGACAACATCCTGCGCCAGTGGGCACTGCTGACCGAGCTGGTCCGCGCCCGCCGCGCCCGCCTTGAGCAGAACCTGGCGCTCCAGAAGATCTTCCAGGAGATGGTCTACATGATCGACTGGATGGAGGAGATGCAGGTAGAGACGGAAGAGATCCGGCGGCGCAGCGGAATTCCGGCGGCGCTGGATGACGCCGTTTCGTTCTTCTCCAGGTTCTTCTGGTTTCCAAGGATTTGGGGAAGCATCTGCTGGAGGTTGAGGACCTCCTGCAGAAGCACGGGCTGCTGGAGGCCGACATCTCAGCCCAGACTGAGCGCGTCCAGGCCCTCAACGCCGCCGCGCTCAAGTTCTCGGAGCTGGAGGGTAATGGGGGCCACCAGGGTGGGTGACCAGGGCAGGGGGAGGGTCAACCAAGGTCCTGGTGGGCCACGGAAGGGTCAACCCAAGGTCCTGGTGGGCCACTTCCAAGAGTAACCACAGAACCAATGAGGTTGGAAAAGCCCTCTGAGATCTTTGAGTCCAACCTTGGACCAGACCCCAGAGTGCCACGTCTGGTCCTTCCTTGGACACCGCCACAACCGGTGACCCCACCACGTCCTGGCCACCATCTAAGCCCCTTCTCCTGGCCCAGGCTACCAACCCTGCGACCCCCAGATCATCTGCAACCGCGTCAACCACGTCCAGACGTGCCTGGAGGAGCTGGAGGAGCTGGCGGCCAAGAGGAGGAAGGAGCTGGAGGACTCCCGGCAGCTCTGGACCTTCTTCCAGGAGATGGAGGAGGCCGAGGCCTGGATCCGCGAGAAGGAGAAGATCCTGGCTGCCAAGACCTGCGGCCGCGACCTCAGCAGCGTCATGACCTTGACCAACAAACACAAGACCATGCTGGGCGAGCTGGGCAACCGCCGGGCGCTGCTGCACCAGACCATGAAGAAAGGCGAGAAGATCCTGGCCAAGAAATCCTTCAGCTCCGTGGGCATCCAGGAGAAGATGCGAGAAGTCTGCCTGCGGTGGAAGAAGCTGGAGGAGGTCACGGGGCTCCACCAGCAGCGCTTGGAGGACGCCCTGAACTTCTTCCAGTTCAGCGCCGAGACGGACGACCTGGTGGCCTGGCTGCAGGACACGTACCGCATCGTGTCCAGCGACGACTTCGGCCACGACGACTACTCCAGCCAGGCCCTCCTGCGCAAGCACCGCGCCGTGGTGGACGAGGTGGAGAAGCACCGCGCCGCCGTCCTGTCCCTCCGCAAGCAGCTGGCTCTCCTGGCCCCCGACCACCGGCAAGGTGTGGACATCCAGATCCGCGTGGTGGAGGTGGAGCAGCTCTATGGGGAGGTGGCTGAGGTGGCCGTGCTGAGGACGCAGTGGCTGCAGGACGCCTTGGCCGTTTACCGCATGTTCAGTGAGGTCCACGCCTGTGAGGTGTGGGTGGACGAGAAGGAGCAGTGGTTGGAGAAGATGGAGGTGCCCGAAGAGCTGGATGAGGTCGAGGTGGTCCAGCACAGGTGGGTGGAGGTGGCGTGGGGCGAGGCCGGACGCTGAGGTTCCTGGTGCCGTGGTGGACCTGCCCGTGTCCATCTGCTCAGGTTCGAGAGCCTGGACCAGGAGATGAACAGCGTCATGGGGAGAATCCTGGATGTCAACCAGGTGGTGCAGCAGCTGGTGGACGGTGGCCACCCCAGCTCAGACGAAGTCCGGTCCTGCCAGGACCACCTCAACAGCCGGTATGGGCCCGGGGGTGACCCAAGGTGGACCTTGATCTTCTTGGGGTCTCCTTGGTGGGGCTGCCTGGAGACTCTCAACCTGTGGTGGGATGTCCCTGTGGGGTCCAGGTGTCCAGTGGAATGGTCCAAACCCATCGTTGGGGTTCCAAGGTGGACCTTGACCATCTTGAGGTCTCCTTGGTGTGGGGAACGTTGTGTGGGGCTGCCTGGAGACCCCCAACCTGTGGTTCTCCACTGGTGGGACGTCCCCAGGTCTCCAGGCCACCGTTCCCAGCCCATCCCAAGGGTTCCTGCTGATGCTGGTGGGCCCCATCCCAGCTCAGGGGGGTCTCACCCCGCTCCTATCCCCATCTCCAGCTGGAACCGGGTGGTGGAGCTGGTGGAGAACAAGAAGAGCCAGCTCAGCTCAGTGCTGAAGATCCAGAACTTCCTCCTGGAGTGCAGCGAGATGAAGGCGCAGGTGCGGGAGAAGAGAAAAGCCATCGAGGCCACCCAGTCCGGTGGCAGCGACCTGGGCGGGGTCCTGGCCCTGCAGCGCCGCCTGTCCACCATGGAGGCCGCCCTGGTGGTCCTGGAACCGCGGCTGGTGGAGCTCCAGCAGGAGGGCGAGGCCTTGGCTGCCGCCCACCCCGACCGCGCCCTGGAAATCCTGCTGCCCTTCGAGGAGATCAGCGAGGAGTGGGACAACCTCAAGCGAGCCCTCCAAGGCTGCGAGGACACCTTGACCATCGCCGGCCGTCTCCAACAGTTCATCCAGGACCTGGACAACTTCTTGGGGTGGTTGGTGAAGACCCAAGCGGCCGTGGGCTCCGAGGAGGTCCCCGACAGCTTGGCCGAGGCCGAGCGGCTGCTGAACGTCCACGTGGCCCTCAAGGAGGAGATCAATGGCTACGAGGAGGACTACGCCAAGATCCAGGCGGCCAGCGAGCTGCTGGCTCTGGAGGAGATGGAGGTGCCCTACCTGTCCCTCCAGCAGTGGCTGCAGAAGCTGGACGCAGGCTGGGGGAAGCTCCTGCAGAGCTGGGAGATGAGGAGGGAGGTCCTGGTGCAGTCCCACATCTTCCACCTCTTCCTGCGCGACGTCCAGCAGTGCCAGAACAGCCTCTACAACCAGGTCTGGGAGGAGGCGGCGGCCACGGGTGGGAGAAGGTCCTGGTTGGTGGATTTGGGTGGTGGAAGGTCCTGGTTGGTGGATTTGTGTGGGAAAAGGTCCTGGTTGGTGGATTGGGTGGTGGAAAGTCCTCACTGGTGGATTTGGGTGGTGGAAGGTCCTCACTGGTGGATTTGGGCGGGAGCAGCTCCTGCTGGAGCTCCTGTGGAATTGAGGTGACCACCCCAAAGCCAGGCCAGGGGTCACAGCCCCCACCAACCCCTCCCAGGAGACCACCCTGGCCCACGCCGAGCTGCCGGACACGGTGGAAGGGGTGACCAAGGCGCTGAAGAAGCACAAGGACTTCACTACCACGCTGGAGCTGAACCTGCAGAAGGTCCAGCTGGTCCTGCAGGCCGGCGAGAGCCTCCGGCGCCAGCGCAACCTCCACAGCGACCGCGTGGCCGAGGCCATGGAGGGGCTCCGGGCCAAGTAGGTGCCCACCCTGGAGACCCCTGGCCCACCAGAAGCACCCAGGAGCCACCAGCGGCTCTCAGGACCCCAAAACACCCACACAGGACCCCAGAATTCCATGTAGGACACCAAGAATTCCATGTAGGACACCAAGAATTCCATGTAGGGCACCAAGAATTCCATGTAGGACCCAAAAATTCCATCCAGGACCCAAAAATTCCATCCAGGACCCCAAAAATCCACCCAGAGCCCTCCATACTGGACCTCTCTGACCACCCAGGAGCCACCAGAAGCTCTCAGGACCCCAAAACTCCACCCAGGACCCCAAAAAATCCACCCAGGACCCCAAAACTCCACCCAAGACCCCCCCACATTACTCAAGACCCCCCAGGAACCGGGATGAGGCTGGATCTGATGGTGGATCCCAGATGGAAGCTCGTGACTCAGTTTCCCCTTTGAGGGGAAGCTCAGGGGTTAATGAAGGGTTAATCAGGAGTTATCAAGGGTTAGTTGGGGGTTAATAAAGGGTTAACTGGGGGTTAATTAGGGGGTCCCCCCCACCCCCCCCCTTGCAGGAGCCAACGCAACCATCAGCTGGCCCAGGAGTGGACGCGGCGGCTCCAGGACCACCTCGAGCTCCAGAGGTTCCTCCAGGACTGCCGCG